CTCGACGCACTCTTCGACATAGTACTACCACCACCTACACGTACGGACCGTACACACACATACTATATTATACATATATACATATATACTATATATAATATATACTATATATATATATATATACTATATATATATATATATATATATATATATATCAATATATATATATATATATATATATATGTTTATTTGTTTATTGTGGTTCAAGCGGATGCAGGCGTAAACTATACGTTGCAGCAGTTAAGGCGTATCACGTTTCCTTATTCATTGTAACCTACTCTATCAGCGAAATACCCGCTCAGGCAGACTGTACATATTCAACATATGACGCTCAGATTCAATTCGTTGATGCTAACAATACCGCATGGATCCTGATTCTAGGTGTGTCTTTGCTGCTGATGATTTATTACGTTTTGTTGTTCCCGGTCAGTTTTGTATGGATATTTTTTCTCGCATGCGGTGGAGGAGAAAGGAACGATTCAATATTTCATCTAAGTCTATTGAGTGTAAGTTGAAGAAATTCCGCAAGTTACCCCAGTTGATATGGTAAAGCAATGTGAAAGAGCATTCAACAAATTTGACAAGGGCCACAAACTAGCTAATAGAAAACCTGTGAGGTTGTCGGTTTCAATCTATTGCTCCTTCAGTTGAGTGCTGTATTGCACGTTGTCTTATTGAACATTATTACCGAGCCAAGCTTGTGTAATTTACTCCGCCCCGTCGGCCAATTCACGTTTTAGCCATATAAAATATTTTTAGTCTCGTATTCATCGAGATGAAGAATACAAACTGACACACACTTGAAACATCCCTGTGCCATTCCTACAATCTATCAGATTCTCCTCTATTGCTTGCTGATCCGGGTGTTTTAGGAGAGCCCTACGCAGAGGAGTCCACAAACTACACCTGGTTGGTTATCCTTCTTACTTGTTTACTCGCGGCATGCATCGCAGTGGCCGTGTTCTTGTTTTACGGCAATCAGAAATTGAAGAAACTTCTTTCTGGACAGGTGCGTGGGGTTCAAATGTATATCAGTCTACACAATTGCGATATCGAGCGTGATGAGCGATATTCAAGCATAGTACCAATCTTCCTTGAATTACAGTGTTGTAAATCACCAGCGGCATTATCATGCGTGCAACAAACTACCTTATTTAGCCGTCGGTATCAGTTCCAGTCATTGCCGCAGCTCCTTTTAGTTGTGTAAGTTGTATCGCCTATATACCATAACTTGATTTGTATAGTCTTGTCGTAGTGCGTGGTCTGTATTATCTATGCTACGATAGTAATGTGTGTTTGTATCCCAGGAATCGACTGGGCCACCTGGGAAGGTAGATTTCAGGGGCTTTCCCTCTCCATCAAAACTTTGATCCTTAAATCGTAAATCTTAAATTTCTTAACTATAACACCGCCTGTATATTAGGAAACGACCGGACCTTTCAGACAAGTATATCCAAAGGGTGCCCCCCCTCCCACCGATATTCCAGGAGCGCTGACCCAGGTCAAGGGTCAGGCCGGTCCCATAGATTCAAGCCAATTTGTCATGATGGAAATTATAGGACTTGGTGAATTTGGAGCGGTGTACAAGGGAGCTCTATTCTACGAGAAACAGGTGTGTCGCGTGCTCGATATTGCGACCCGGAGGGGGGTTTCTCATGCCGTCCATCGCGGTTTTTATTTATAAAGATTGTGGGTATAGGGGTGTGGCACAAGCACGGTATCTGTTGCAAGGTAAGGACAGCTTACGCAGTTTCATCATGAGTTTTCCTTAAAGGCAGTGCGAATTATATATTTCTCTTTCACTCGAAGCTTCTACCTTTCGCGGATAAGGTGCTCATGCGGCTCTGTCCACCTCTACTAGGCGGCAATCGTCGCTATCAAAACACTGAAGCCAGAGCACAGAAACGAGGAGGTAAGTGCGGGGCAATTCCACGTCGAAGCTGAAATAATGAAGAGTCTTGATCATCCCAACATAGTCTCTATGATCGGTTTATCAACCGTTGAGCACGATGAGGGGATTTGTGAGGTATGCAAGTTCTTAAGTTTTTACTTTGCGTGTCCATGGTTGAGCTGATGCAGTTTACAGTGATGTCTCTGGAGTGCCACCAGAGCACGATCAGTCATAGACTATGCTTTGGGATTGAAAGCGCAATTAGTGTGACCCACAACGAATTGAGCACTACGTCCTGTGTTGAAGATGAATTGCATTTTAATGGCTGCTATATTGATTCTCCGTGCCAATTCAGTGCCTAATTATGGAGTACATGGGGCTAGGCGATCTACGCTCGTACATTAAACCGTCGACGCAGTCCGAAGACGAAAGTGGCACCATCATCTCAACCAAATACATCACACTGCATGAAAAACTATGGCACTGCCTCCAGATAGCGCGAGGTATGGAGTATCTGGCCTCGGTTAATATTGTACACAGGGATTTAGCGGCTCGTAATTGCATGCTGAGCGATCCAGTGGAACATACTTCCCGAATAGTAGAAGGCTACGAGTTCTCGCCGGGCTCCTCGTACCCGGTTACCAAAATAGCCGATTTTGGGCTGTCGAGGATGTTCGATGAAAACGAGAGGCAGTATGTCATGAGCAACTCTACGCTGCTGCCTGTGCGATGGCTGTCAATAGAGGCCATTACGGACAGGTAAGAATGTACTGGTCGAAACGAACTATTAATTTCTATTTAACTTACTTTGCATGTCTGATATGGGTTTCCTGAAGTTTGTCAATCGAAGAAGCTCCGCAGGTCAAGATGCAAATCTCCGTACGTAGCATGTCTCCATCCTACTAACGTATACATTTTGTGTACTCGTTTATATACAGAGCCTACACAGAAAAGTCGGATTGTTGGGCGTTTGCCGTCACCTGCTGGGAAGTTTTCTCAGACGGTGCCATTCCTTACCAAGACCTGTCTACATACAATCTGGCGGCATCAGTTGCTGCCGGGACACGCCTGACGAAACCAGCCGTATGTCCCCTCGCGGTGTTCGATATAATAAAGAGTGGGTGGGAGCAGGATGTGGAGAAGAGGCCGACATTCAAGGAGTTGAGACAGAAACTCGAGGGTGTATTTATGACCGCAAGTATGGAGTATCTACAGAATAACGAAACCTTCAAGGGAGGCTTGAAGAGTGAGGAGAGTATGGCGATTGAGGACCCATCTCGATATGAATATCCATACACAACCATTACAGCGCCCGAGACAGCATTTCTCCAGGCGGATACTGATATGACGGTATGTATTGGCGGTGATTCTCGATCATTCGGGCAATAACTCTTGGAAAGGAATTGTTTCAGTTCCAGAGTTATTTTTGGGATCAACCGGGGAGTTCTGGTTCAATTCGGGAGTGCTTGTGATCGTGAATGAATACAGTTCTGTGCATGAACCCATTGCATGGCACGTCGATGTCATAATGAAGTAGTTTTTCAATGTTTTATTCTAAATCAGACCCAAAACTTTGTTACCTGCCTGTAACGGTTAGCTCGGCCTCGAGCAAAGATATATTCACAATACAACATCACAGGTTTGTATCCACGTTCCTACATTCACGTAACAATTATATTTTATGCAGTACCTCAATCTTGAGGACACAAGGTCACCCGATATGCTGCTGAGCAGGAGGGACAAACAAGATGACATTACGGAGGAAGCGGGATACGTTGTGATGAATGGTGCTATAAGGAGGCCTACCAATACACAGGACGAAAGTAGGGGAAGCGAGTTCAGGAGTCAAGCGCGGGGATTTTCGGGGGATACCAGCATTTATTTAGACGGCAACCTTGACACTGCTATAGAGGGGGTGTATAATATGTATCCACCACGATGATTAGTTAAGTACGATAACAGACAATATAAATCCAGTTATAAAAAGTACGAGGATGAGTTTTCTAAACACAATACGAGTCGCATATATTGGAAATAAAGGAAATACGCTAATAGGCGTCTTCAATTGGATCACTCTTTGTCGAAATATTTCACAACTCGATGTCTCAATTTGGAAAAGTGCACGAGATTGATGATGAATAGCGATTCAGTTATACAATCTAGTGTTTGTACCTAGTCACTATTACCTCCGAAAGTCCTACATCTAAAATATACACTAAATAAAATCTTGCTTTAGCTATGGCCTTTAGATATAAATTGGCGGCATTTGCTTGGTCGCTCTAAGAAAGAAGTACAGCTCAAACATAATGCAAAATCTAACAAAAATGCTATGGAATGAGAATCGACAAACGATGGAGCGTGATTTATTTTAGCTTCTAATGCACCACTATTCAACGACACGGACTGAAAGCAGACTCTCGTTCAGCCCATTGTGGTTCACTATATTGCCGAATGGGGTAGAGGAAGACTAGTAAACATGTTGTTTGATTCAGGTATATACCACAGCTGAAGCAATATCATCAGCTTATTGTGTAAGCTGCAAAGATACTCATCAGCCAAGGCGCACAGAATTGTACGGACTCGCAGACTATCCGTTTTACAAGCGCTGAATACTTAGGAATCGCAGAAGAGGAAGTGTAATGGGTATCCCGCTGTGATATATATATATACATACATACACACACACACACACATATATATA